GCCGCCCCCCCCCCCCCCCCGCCCCCCCCCGGCCGCCGGCTTCCCCCGAGGCTTTCAAAGCCGCGGAGGGGCTCCGGCGGGGGGGGCAGCCCATGCGCGCCTGGGATGCCCCACCGCCGGCTTCCCCCGAGGCTTTCAAAGCCGCAGAGGGGCTCCGGCGGGGGGGGCAGCCCATGCGCGCCTGGGATGCCCCCCTGCCGGCTTCCCCCGAGGCTTTCAAAGCCGCGGAGGGGCTCCGGCGGCGGGGCATCCGGCGTACAAGACGACCCCCGATTTTGGGGGGATGTTTTTTAACATCAGAGGTCGTCTTGTACGCCGGAATATACGGTAAGTACAATATAAAAAAATCTGATTCAAACAGTTATGGAACAAGCAACTGTGGGAAACATTGTTCCCTGAGAGAGAATGAGAGCCAGAGGAAGGAGGAGGTGCAAAGTGGAAAAGGAGAAAGAAGGATAAAATTACAGATACAGTATTATTTCAAATATTGTCAAATATGAAAAATTGAATTCAGTGCTTCTGATTATAACCATTGCCAGAAGACCTGATGACTGCACCGATGAAAGCAGAATTATTGAGCCTGTTCTCACTAAAGTGAGTGGCAACACATTTACTGACTTCAGTGGAAGCAAGTTTAGTCCATCTAGTTGACTATAAGACTACAGGTTGGACCTCCCTAGTCCAACACGCTTGGGACCTGACTGGTCCTGAACAAGTGAATTTCCCAGACCAGGGTGGTCCCTTGCCACTGGCCTCCCAGCCCACTGTCTCACCCTGCTGCCAGCTCCTTTTGACCTGGGCTCTGGCCCTGCTGCCGTGGGACTTGGGCTTCAGCACCAGACCCAGCTCTGGCTGCTCTCACCAGGCTTAAAAGCCCTGGCCCTAGCTTCCCCTGCTGCCAGCCTGGCCAGGGCTCCCTGGCCAGGGCTCCATGGCTGCCACTGACCCCTGCTGCTGCCAGCCCATCTGGGGTGCCCCAGGTTTAGAGTGCCCTGTTGCTTCCTGGGCTGGTATTCCTCAGCTGCAGCCCCCCCCCCACACCCCACTGTTGGGTTCCTGGCCACACTGCTGCCCACCCTGTCATAGGGCTCCCAGCCACATTGCTGCCAGATCTCACTGCTCCAGGGCTCTCTGGTTCAGGAACATTTGTGGTCATGTCAGACTATGGATGTTGCTGAACCAGAAAGTCCTGGTTTAAGGAGGTCTAACTATATTCTTGTCTAAATGGAGCTTATATATCCATGTTGTGTATGGAAGTGTAGTCCTAACCAGATCTTCATACTTAGACACATGCTAATACATCTTTGAAGTGGTCTTTGCATAATGTCATTGATGGTCATGGCACCTCCTGCAGCTGCAAAATTCAGAAATCTCTTTTAAAGCTGAGAGCTATGTGAGTGCTGTTTTGTAAAACTCAGTGTTCAGTATAAGGTTATGTAAAAGAATATGGCTCTGCATTCACCTCAGTTCCTCTCTTTCTGTGGCCAGCTGAAGAGTGGAAGATGTAATTGTTTTACTGAATATTTAAAAACAGTTTTCTTCCTGAGTTACTGAAGTAGCAAATATTGTAAAAGTTGCTGCTTGAACTTTTAAGAAAGCCACAAACAGGATTCTGTGTCTACACTGACAAAAGTGTGTTTCTAGTGTTGGAGAAGTAACATGCATTAGATATTCTGCTGTGAAAATATAGTGGAAACTAGAGCCTTGTCTATACTGGCACGTTTTGTTGCCAAAAACTGCCTTTTGACAACAAAACACTGAGGGTGTTTTATACTTCAATGTGACTTTTGTTGGGAAAAACACCAAGTTTTGCTGCCAAAAAGACTTCCACCCTTGTGAGAGACTTATGTCTTTTCCCCTCAATTTATTGTCGACAAAGAACCAGTGTGGGCTTTGCTGTTTGTTGAGAGAACTGGCTTCTGCCAGTATCCCACAATGCCTGACCTGATGGTTCTGCTCAGTGTTTTGTGATTTCTGCTGCCTTGCAGGTACAAGCCCTCCCCTTGCAAAGCTCTGGGAAGTTTCTGACAGCTGAGAGAGCTGCTCCATTTAGGGAACAAATAACAAATAATTGGATTGCTCCTGTTCTGTCCTGCTAGGAACATAGCAGCAGGCAGACTGCTGCTGCAGGGGAAGGACTGGAGAGACTGCTCTGTTGCTTTGACATTCCTCAGCATGAAGAGCTCACAGTGGTACTTGTGATAATGCTCCTAGTATCTGAGAATGCTGTGGAAGAACTTGTAGGGACTCCCAAGAAGCCCTGCTTTCCCACAACACTGCACTATGGGATGGTTACCCACACTGCTGTGCCGACAGTGCGCTACCAATGTGACTGAAATATAGACAATAGGAGGCAGAAAAAGCACTCTGACCATTTTTCACTTTTGGAGTCTTTTTTGCATGTTGACAGCACTTTTGTTGACAAACCTTCTGAGTGTAGACATAGCCTAGAAACTTTGGTTTTACTGGAAGCAAATAAAGGAGGTCAACTGCAGGCATGAGGAGTGAGTATTGGGGTTGTAGTTGATTAACCGATAAGCAAAAGCTTATAGATTCATGTTATAAACTACATACATTTCCCTCCCCTGCCCCCACCAGTAATTTTTTTTAGCAGTCTGGCCAGCAGCCCGGCTCATTCCTGGCTTGCACCGGGTCCAGGACCTACTCCTGCTGCAGCTCTGCATTTGAAGCGTATTAGGAGCCAGGCAGGCAGGTAGCCCAACTCAGTTCTGGCTCGTACCAGGTCTGGTAGCTCAACCCTACCCCTGGACAGGGGCTGTTGCCACTCTGTGCTGCTGCCTTTTTATCAGAGGCAACAGTGCAGAGCGACAGGAGCTGTTTTTTAAACAGGCTACCCTCACAGTCCAGCTTCTTCCTGGCACACCGCACTGCTATGTATTTTTCCTGTTTCTGCTGCTGTGTCACTAGCTTCTCGCATTACAAATAGTGGCATCTTTGGGGCAACATGCAATGTGGCATAGTGATACATATCCAGTTTTTGGTTTTGTATATATGCACCCACATACAGTAACAAAATTTGGTGGCAGTCCTAAGTGTTTCCTTCTGATTCAGTATTTTCCGATGTTGATCTTACCTGTTCCAATTGCTAAAATGACTTTCAGTGTGACATTTTTAACCATATAAAATACTTTGTTCCTTTCTAGTGCTAACTAAATTTTCTTATATTCACCGAGCAAACACTCTAGTTTAATTCTTGCTGAAGAATTAATTTGTTATATACATTATTATGAACCACTTGATTGCTCATTGTCTTATTCAGGGATGGTATGAAGAAGCACTTACACAATTTGAAAAAATCAAGGAGACCGATTTTCAGGCTCTCTATCAGCTGGGTGTAATGTATTATGATGGATTGGGGACCAAAGAAGATCCAGTAAGTCATTATACAGCTATCTATATTTAGTTTTTCTTCTAACTTTACTACATAGACTGTTACATAACTTTCCATATTTAACAGATTTTACAAATTTAAACCAATCAGTACAAGAATTATCAAAGTGAGGCCCCAGTCTTGCAATTTGTTCCATGTAGGCAGAGGCCCATTAATAAATTGGGGAAATGGTCCAAGTTAAACATTTCTTCATAAAAGCTTTTTCTTTAAAGTGAATTGTTTGAATACATTTGCAACTCAATGTACAGGCAGTCCCCGGGTTACGTACAAGATAGGGACTGTAGGTTTGTTCTTAAGTTGAATCTGTATGTAAGTCGGAACTGGCGTCCAGATTCAGACACTGCTGAAACTGACCACCAGCTCTGACTTACATAGAGAATCAACTTAAGAACCCCAGGCATCCCCAAGTCAGCTGCTGCTGAAACTGATCAGCAGCTGATTCCAGGAAGCCCGGGGCAGAGCAACTCTGCCTCGGGCTTCCTGTAGTCAGCGCTGGTCAGCCCCCAGTGTGGGCCTAAATAGGTAAAAAAGTCTACAGTATTAGGGCATATAAAAAAGCTACAAAGTTCTTTCTAGAACTTTTTACAGATCCAAAAATGGATCTGGACATAATACCATGATAAGGACAAGGCAGAAATTGGCATTACCTTTTTCAGATCTTTTGGATTTGATGTAGAATAAAACATTCCCAGAGTAGTTTGAGCCTTTACGCTTGCTTTTGGATTCCCATGGTCTGCAGCAATAACCCACAGCCTAAAAAAATAGGGAAGAAGTATAAGTTACATTAGAACATAGTGTCTAATAAATCATAGAGAAATGAGATCAAGTTACCTTTCAGCTTCTTTATCTGAATGCGTAACACCACATCCTTCGAAATAAGCTCTGCCAAGATTGTATGCAGCAGCATATTTTAAATGTCTTGCTTTATGGGAGTTAGAGTTGATGATTATTTTCATGTACTCGATTCCTTTTTCCTTTGAGAGAAACAGATTTTAATCATAATTTCAGAAGGTAAAAAGAACAAAAAGTTTCTAGGTAAAGTAAGTTACATATTACACACAAAGAACTTTTTAGTTTGAAAACACCCTAAATGTTTTAAAAAATATGATCAGTTAAGATACTGTAAAAAGCATAATTCTTACATTTTAAGTATTTTCATTTTTTAAAAAACCCTCATTTTAGTAAAACTATTTTTATGAAAAAGTTGAACTTGTCTGAACAGATATCATGTGGGGCGTCAGTTTTATGACACATTCCTTGCTCGAGTTTTCCTTGTACCCACTGCAGAACGTCATTCAAAATCAGTTTGCTCAACTCAAAAAGATTAACAATATTCCAGTTATTTTATTAAATTAAATCCATTCTTTATATATACAGTAAGCCTCATGTGCTTTCCAAAGACATAGTCTCTTTCTTCAATTAAAAGGGCTAGTACAGGCAGTCCCCGACTTACGCGGATCTGACTTACGTCGGATCCGCACTTACGAACGGAGCTTTCTCGCCCCGGAAGTTGGGGTGAGAAAGCCCCGTTCGTAAGTTGCTCCGGTGCCCCTGGTCTGCTGGAGACGGTCTCCAGCAGACCAGGGGCACCGGAGCAACTTACGAACGGGGCTTTCTCACCCCAACTTCCGGGGCGAGAAAGCTCCGTTCGTAAGTGCGGATCCGACGTAAGTCAGATCCGCGTAAGTCGGGGACTGCCTGTACTAGCCCTTTTAATTGAAGAAAGAGACTATGTCTTTGGAAAGCACATGAGGCTTACTGTATATATAAAGAATGGATTTAATTTAATAAAATAACTGGAATATTGTTAATCTTTTTGAGTTGAGCAAACTGATTTTGAATGACGTTCTGCAGTGGGTACAAGGAAAACTCGAGCAAGGAATGTGTCATAAAACTGACGCCCCACATGATATCTGTTCAGACAAGTTCAACTTTTTCATAAAAATAGTTTTACTAAAATGAGGGTTTTTTAAAAAATGAAAATACTTAAAATGTAAGAATTATGCTTTTTACAGTATCTTAACTGATCATATTTTTTAAAACATTTAGGGTGTTTTCAAACTAAAAAGTTCTTTGTGTGTAATATGTAACTTACTTTACCTAGAAACTTTTTGTTCTTTTTACCTTCTGAAATTATGATTAAAATCTGTTTCTCTCAAAGGAAAAAGGAATCGAGTACATGAAAATAATCATCAACTCTAACTCCCATAAAGCAAGACATTTAAAATATGCTGCTGCATACAATCTTGGCAGAGCTTATTTCGAAGGATGTGGTGTTACGCATTCAGATAAAGAAGCTGAAAGGTAACTTGATCTCATTTCTCTATGATTTATTAGACACTATGTTCTAATGTAACTTATACTTCTTCCCTATTTTTTTAGGCTGTGGGTTATTGCTGCAGACCATGGGAATCCAAAAGCAAGCGTAAAGGCTCAAACTACTCTGGGAATGTTTTATTCTACATCAAATCCAAAAGATCTGAAAAAGGTAATGCCAATTTCTGCCTTGTCCTTATCATGGTATTATGTCCAGATCCATTTTTGGATCTGTAAAAAGTTCTAGAAAGAACTTTGTAGCTTTTTTATATGCCCTAATACTGTAGACTTTTTTACCTATTTAGGCCCACACTGGGGGGGATGTGTGTGTATTTATTTATATATAAAAATAAAATATACAGAAAAAAAATCTTAATCTAAAATTTAAGAATCAATATTATATGAAGTGGAATTAAGATTTATAGTTCTTCATATGTTTAAGAAATGACCAACTGTAGTGGCAGGGCATAGGACTGCATGAGAAAAGGAAACAAATTTAAGTAAGAATTTTGTGCCTATTCTGTAGGCATTTTTTTGGCATTCAGAAGCTTGTGGCAATGGAAGTTTGGAGTCACAGGGTATACTTGGTGTTATGTATCTTTATGGACAAGGCATACGTCAAAATACAAAGGCTGCTTTGGAGTGCCTGAAGGAAGCAGCAGAACGTGGAAATGTCTATGCTCAAGGCCATCTTGTGGAATATTACTACAAAAGAAAATTTTATACAAAAGCTGCTGCATTTGCCAGAAGGTGAATTAATTTTAGTTAAAGTTATTGGAATTCTTGACATAGGATCATAGATGGTAAAGATATAAATAATTCTTTTTAGATCAAGTTCAAACTCATGCCAATCAAAGTAATCTCCTGTTGGAAATATATCAGATTTAACTGCCATACTCAATCTTTAAAAAGCAAATGGCAGAATTTAGATAAAATCGAAACCCTAATTATTACGAAGCCTTCCATTATACAGTTTAACTCTGTCCTCCTGGATCACACGGAAGCAGAAATAATCACTGGAGAAGAAATTGAGATTAAATATCAAAACAAACATACATTGAAAATTATGTCCTTTTCTCGAAGCTTATTTGAATACATTTTAATTCAGGTATATAAAGGATGGGACAAGGGCCTATACCCTGTGTCTGATCCCTAGAATATAATGTAAATAATGTAGGATGAAATGTAAAAAACAATTCAGGCTATGTCAACTCTACAGGCAGTCCCCGAGTTACGTGGATCCGACTTATGTCGGATCCGCAGTTACGAACGGGGCTTTTCTCGCCCTGAAGGATAGGAGCGGCGGGACGCCGAGATGCGCTCCCGTCCTCCGGGGTGAGAAAAGGTGCTCCCCGTCTCCCTGCAGACCAGTGGGATGGGGAGCAAAGCCTTGGAGCACGCCCGCAGCGGGACAGCCCGGGCGCGCTTGAGCTGCACCCCCGCCGTCGCGG